CTCGGACATGCTCAGAGGCCTTATAGGATACTCAGAATCAAGGTCCCTCTGATCTTAGGTATTTCTTCCATTCCAAGGTCAGGGAGGGCCTCTCCCGGGAATTTTCTTATCTGCCTTAAGACTGGACATCAGTCACTAGTATGGCATTATGTAAAAATGTGAATGTGTAACCTATGTGATTCTGCAATCTGTATTTGGGGTAAAAATGGGAGTTCATAACTCACTTGAAACTATTGTTCGAAGTATGATAGGTCAAGAGCTTTGTAATGTTGTGAACAACCAATAATAAAAAAAAAAAGACTGGACACTCATTGTCTTTCATTCCCTCCCTAAATCTCCTGTCTCCCACAGAGAAGACCAAGCCCCCTGCCCCCCCTGGATGAACTGGCACAACCATGTCTCTCTCGGGCTCGTTCAAATTCCAAACAGAATCATTCACACACGGATTTCTCTCTCCTGGATCCATTTGTTCTCTCTCTAATAATTTATTATCCTTCTAGAATTTTCTAGGACCTTGGCCCCTGACATTTCCTCCTCCCTAAAGAAGAGAACATTTAAGCTTTGGCCACCTGACCCTTCTTTGAGTCTTAAACTTGGTGTATGGCTTGTGTTTCTGTGCATTAATTTGAAGGCTTTTCACCCTACTCCTTGTTTACTGAGGACCACCTGCTATGTGGGCTTTCCCTTGGGAAGACCACTCTAGGGGCGCATTGCGAGTCAGGCCTGGATAAGTTCCTCTTTCTCCAGAGTCACTGCATCTTGCTGCTCCCGGTGTTGGTCATCCCTCAGTGACTGGCTGGAGTTCTCAGCAAGTCATCCCTGCTTCAAAATCCTTCAGGAACTCCACCCTCCTGTAAGACCAAGTTCAACCCCTTAGCAAGAGCCATCATGCCTGATCTCAGAGTGGCAGAGGACCCAGATGAAAGATAGGAAAAGAAATGTAAAGTCCAAGAGACCATCATCTCCAGGACAGTACTGTGTTTGAGGGTAAAGAAGCCCAGAACTTACTCCAGCAGTGACAGAAGTGGCTTGTGAATTGTCCTTTCCTACACAAATCCTGTCTCCTGCCATCCTCTATCCTTTGCCACCCAGACCACACATCATTCTTTGTGCCTTGACTTTTGCTTTTTCTCCCTCTTACCTAAAAGTTTAATCCTTTTAAAAATGTTGTTGGTGCATCTTAGTTATACATAATAGTGGTATGTTTGTATGCACGTGGAGCATTGACTGCCTGTTTCATTCCCCCATGCCTCCCCTTCCCCTCCCCTTGCCCCCTTCTCCACTCTACTGGACTTTCTTCTATTTTCATGAGGTCCCTTTTCTCTCCTCTTTTCTCTCTAGCTTCCACATTTGAGAGAAAATCTGCAATTCTTGACATTCTGAGTCTGCCTTATCTCATTTTTCCTGAAGATGTAAATAAAGCCTCTGTCTTGAGGTCTTCTGCCTCTGTATTGCCTTCCACCACAGAAAATGAAGCACTTCTGTCCTTAACAATGTAACTATGCACTTTCCCCATCTTTGTGGAATTATGTATCTGTGTCCATTCATTGAGCCATTTCTCCATTCTTTCATATATCTACTGGCCAATCTGTTTATTTCTTTTTCCATTCATCTGTGGAATTAAAGTGTGCCTAACCCTGGGTTTGATGTTCCTATGGATCAGACTACTTCCATTCTGTTCCAAGTCTACAGAGTAGAAGGAAAATTCCAGAAGCCATCTCAAGAGCGTGGCTATGATCCCACATTGGACTTTATGTTGGGCTTTATACAATTTCTCCTCAGTGTCAGGTCTAGTTATTGCCCTCTTTATTAAAGGTGAGGGTGGGGCAGACATGAAAGAGAAATGCTAAGTCTGAGTTTGGGGTTAAGTATCCACACACTCTGCCATGTTTATTGCAGCATTATCCATAGTTGAGATAAAGATCAACCTAAGTGGCCACCAACTAGTGAATAAGGAAATGTGTACACACACACACATACACACACACACACACACACACACACACAGAATAAAATACTACTTAGTTTAAAAGGGAAGGAGATTCTGCTGTTCATGACAACATGGATGAACTTGGAGGATTTTATGCTAAGTGAAATAAGCCAGGCACAGAAAGGCATGCTGCATGGTCTCATTTATATCCAGAATCCAAAAAAGTCAAGCTTGGAACTAGAGAATGGATGGTGGCTATCAGTGGCTGAGCAGGGGGAGGAAGGTTTGGGGAGTTTGGGGTCAAAGAACATGAAACTCCAGGAAGACTGGAGAAAAGTTTCAAGAGATCAAGAGCACAACATGGTAATCATAGCTAGAAACAATCTACGGCACATTTGAATAATGCTAAGAGACTAGATTGTAAGTGTTTCGAACACAAAAAAGCATGTGAGGTAATGCCTATATTCATTCATTTATTTGATTTAGCTGTTCAACTATGGGTAACC